AGACAGCAAACAAATAGTTCTGCATCTCAGTTGGAGTCAGCCAACAAAATTACAAAGTAGTTATAATAAATGTATTAGATGAATAGTATAATAAAACAAACAAAAAATTTTAAATTCTTGTTGAGAGTCTCGTGTGAAAAAATGTGTAAGACCAGCGAGACGTTGTTTGTAAAGATTTATTCGTTCCTATTTGCCAGACAGCAACAGTTGACTGGGCCGTAAAACTGCCCTAAAGATAACTCAGGGCAAACTTATGCTGTGCGGGCGTCACATAAAAATCACCCCATGGGGCCCAAGCGAAACTGTACTTGGGGCCGGCTATGCCTTTACCTTCTTCAGCGCCTGAAGAATGCCTTCAAAACCCATACAATGCAACTAAATTAGAATTTTCAAACATGTTTCTTTTCGTATGATGGAATAGATCACAACCTGTTGCCTGGCCCCAACATTCTTGAAGATTTAGTTTTCGTGTAGGTAGAAATTGTTTTTGATCAATACCTATCGAAACGCTAAAAACCGATTGGTATCGATTTCAAAAGTTATGATTTAGCAGCCTTTGGCATTGTCAGTAGTACCGCTACCGTCCGCTAGATGGCGTGGCGCTGGCATCGGTGGTGTGTGCCGCGCTTATCGAAACGCATTGGATTTGGTTTTGATTTATAGTCAAGCGTTTCTTCTTGTTTTTATTTTTTAAAACATAAAGACCACAATAACAGAAACTCTAATTGAATGTATCAAACTGTAAATCAGTGTAATACCGACCAGACATTGTTTATTTGAATTTGCCTCCTTGTTTCTATTTGCAAGAATCTTTAGGTATATTGGAATTGTATACAGGTGCCATAGAGATAGACAGTGCTTTATTGTGCTTTTGCGGGCGACACATTAATAAAAAACCTATAGGATTTGGGAAAAACTCTCGGTACCCCACAGGACAGAAGCCAGACGCCGGGAATTGTTCAAACGCTTTCTTTATATCTAATGCCCCCCGTGTGAGATAAACTGGCTGCAGATCTTCGGTGTTTGCAGTGAATTAGCGCATTAGTGCTCTAGCACCCAGAACGGCTAAATACCAGGTGCCGGACCCCTTCGTCGAATCAGTCGCTGACTCGCGATCGCAGCGCTTTCGAGTGGCGAAATGGATCTCCAAAGTGCCCTGGAAAAATGCGGCAATTTTGGCCCGTATCAAATCCTTCTGCTGGGTCTGTTCGGATACACAAATATTGTATCCTCGCTGCACTATTTTTCGCAGACCATCATTAGTTTCACGCCATCGTACAGGTGAGCGGCTATGCATAATGATACAAAATGATGAAATTCGATGCCACAATATATTTGTTACAAAAGTGAACCAACATTTAATTTAATTTTAAATTACATAAATAAGAAAACCAAATCAATGCAAAATGCAGTCAAGTTCCAGAAGAAAAACCATAAAATGATTTTGAAAACTTATTAAGTGATTTAAGTAATGCATGGTGAAATAAAAAGCAAAGTCTGTACATTTTATAAAGAGTAAGAAATTATTATAAAGATTAATATATAAAAATGAAAAAGCATTTTAGGTCCACATGTTAATTTTTTTACAAATTACTAAACTTAAATTTAATTATTTTAGTTGCTCTCGGCCAAAAGAGGACTTATCGCGGAATTCTACATACACCACTTCCCTGCTGACATGCAATATTATTCAATACGATGAAGATCTTTCATCTTTTCGGGACTATAAGTGCTCCTCGTGGGATTTCGAAAGGGAAAGTAACTACGAAAGTGTTACCACAGAGGTATGTTTCAGCCCAAAAGTAGAAAACGCATTTAGTAACCTAACACTGACATCCGAAATATTAAACATAGCTCGAATGGGTTTGCGATGACGCTACAAACTTGCAGTGGGTCAGTCCTTCTTCTTCATTGGATCTGCCCTGGGAAGTATATTCTTCGGGTACTTGGCAGATCGGATAGGACGACTGCCTGCCTGCGTTTTGTCCACTTTGACAGGAGCCGCTGGTGATTTCTTCACCTCCTTCGTAGGAAGTCTTCCTTGGTTCTCCGTCACCCGCTTCATTTCCGGTCTTTCAATGGACACCCAGTATGTTCTAATGTATATTTTGGGTATGTAAGCTCAACTTGAATTTTAATTGAAAATGTTACAATTACAATGCTTGTAGTTTTTGAGTACCTGAGCCCAAAACACCGCACATTTGGCCTCAACTTTATCTTAGGGATCTTCTATTGCATTGGTCTTGTGATTTCCCCCTGGATGGCTATTTGGTTGGGAAACTGGCGGAGTTACCTATGGGCAGCCTCTCTTCCTGCCCTCGGAATGCTTCTCTACCCTGTACTTCTCCATGAAAGCGCCGAGTGGCTGTTGACGAAAGGAAAGTTCGATAAAGCGGTTAGTAACCTAAAGAGCGTTGCCAAGTTCAATGGACGCCAAGTGGACGACTCTGTTTACGATGAGTTCATAAAATACTATCGCGAAAAGCAAAATAATGCGCAGAAGAAATCTTCGGATACCTTTGCGGGCATGCTAAGAACGCCAAGACTTAGAAAGTTCACCATTATTCTGTTGATCAAATCGTAAGTTTAATGATAAGCACAATATTTATGTTCTTTCTAACTTCAATCACATCTTTTAAGAATGATCGTTACCATAACTTTTGACATCCTAAGTCGAAACGTGGAAGGTGTGGGCATATCGCCCTTCCACCTATTTTCCTACTCGGGATTCTGCTACGTGCCCGCTGGCCTCGCAATAATCCTGTTCCAGAACAAAATCGGAAGAAAGGGCATGGCCTGTGCTTCGCTTTTTGTGGGTGCCATTATTACGGCGGTCACTGGTTACTTGGTGGCCATCCTCGATCCAGCGGACTACTCCATTCTCCTGGGATTCATGGTGAGCCTGGGAAGATTTGGAGCTGTGGTCGCCTACGATGCAGAAGCCCAGTACGCGGCGGAGATTATTCCGACCAGTGTGCGAGGTCGAGGGGTGGCCAACATCCATGTGGTGGGCAACGCCTTCGCTTTCTTCAGCTCCTACGTGATCTACTTGGGTACTTTCTACAGGCCCTTGCCGTCTCTTCTAATCAGCTTCGTTCTCCTGATCGGAAGTTGTTTGTGCCTTACACTGCCCGAGACATTGCACAAGTGAGTTTTGGTCCCATAATACATTTACCATAAGTATACATTTAATTTATCCTGCAGACAACTCCCACAAACTCTGGAGGAGGGCGAGGTATTTGCCAAGGGCGAAAAATGGTATTTCTTTCCCTGCTTTTCACGCAGACAGCAAACAAACAAGTCTGCATCTCAGTTGGAGATGGAGTCAGCCAGCAAAATTACAAAGTAGTTATAATAAATGTATAAGATGTATAGTATAATAAAACAATAAGCTTTTCGTACAAAACTATACAAATAATATCAAAACATGTTTACTGGTGTCTTAATTTTTATGGGAGGCAGTAGAAAGGCGCTGCTAAGACTTGAATTACTGGCTATATGATTTCGGACACTAATAAACGTACCCGATTTCATCACATTCCGATCGCATTTCCACATATGAGCATTTCCACGGATCGCGAACGTACTTAGTGCAAATAAAAAAAGAAAACACTTTTTCAGAGACTTTTATTTGCTTTTCGATAGCATTTTGTTAGCTCTTTGCTTAGTGTATATGTTGGGTTTTTTTGAGCTATAATTTTCATAATAATGGCAAAAAACATGCAGTCGCGAACGCACGCAAAATGGCACGCGAATTCGGACGTAATATTCTAAAACAATAACTTTACTTTTAAAATGAATTCATGTAGCTTTCTATCGAGTCTGTACTTAAGGTAATATCTCCATTAAAGTACCGGTCGTTATAAAAACATGGACATTTGTTTATGAAAATACACAAAAAAATACGATGACTTTGAAGATTTTTTTTTTCGGTCCCGGTTTACCATTTGGCGGATATGCCCATATCAGATCTGTTTAATCCTAGACCCAGACATCTATTAATTACTAGGCTTTAGCTTGGCTTGTTTAGACTTTAGATGCACGCGCCAAGACAATAATTTCTGTAGAACACGGCCATGGTTCCGGAAACAATAAACTATAAATTACAACCAAAATCCCCTTTAGTCTATAGAAAATAGGCAAGTTTTACTCTACCATCTATTTCGTGGGTGTGAGTGAGATCAGACGTCTTATATTCTTTTATAATATTGTTAACTCCATCTCTGGCTAGTTTTACGTATTTCATAAAAGGATGTATAGAGATTTCGAACTCTAATAAACGTACCCGATTTCACCACATTCCGATCGCATTTCCACATCTTAGATCTGTTTAATCCTAGACCCAGACATCTATTTACTATGCTTTAGCTTGGATTGTTTTGACTTTAGATGCACGCGCCTAGACAATAATTTCTGTAGATCACGGTCGTGTTTCCGGAAACAATAAACCATAAATTACAAACAAAATCCCCCTTAGTCTATATAAAATAGGGAAATTTTCCTTTACCATCCTCTACCATCTTCTATATTCTTTTATAATATGATGATTTTTGCTTACTCGATCTCTGGTTAGTTTTACGTATTTCATAAAAGGATGTGTTGAGATTGAATTTTATTCAATAAGCGCCTTAGTTTGTACTTAAATTATGTTTATTCAAAATTTCAATTTCTGATTGGAGGTCTTTCGTGAAAAACAGGTGCGAAACTAGCGAAACGTTGTTTGTACAGATTGACTTGTTTCTATTTGCCAGACAGCAACAGTTTACCGGGCGTAAAACTGCCTTAGTGATAAGTCAGGGCATGCTTATGCTGTGCGGGCGTCATATTAATAATCCCCCCATGGGTCCCGAAAGTCTCCACACGCCAAACAGAAGCCAGACGTCGGAAATGGTTAAAAGCTTTCTTTCTTCCTCGCCATGCCCCGTTGTGAGATAAACTAGCAGCAGATATTCGGTATTTGCATAGTACTAGCATTATATAGCCAGCGTCCGAACACAGTATATACCACCTGCTCCACCTCTTCTCTGGCATCAGTCGCTGGTTTGCGATCAGAGCGGGCTCTTGTGGCGAAATGGATCTGCAGCGAGTCCTCGAGAAGTGCGGGAACTTTGGTCCCTACCAGATCTTGTTGCTGGGGCTCTATGGGTACACAAATATAGTGTCCTCACTCCACTACTTTTCGCAGACGCTGATTAGTTTCACGCCTTCGCACAGGTGAGCGGAAATTTTTCATCCACTCAAAAAATAATTGAAAACATTTAACAAAAATTTCAACAAAGAAGTTAAAACTTTATAATTTAAGTAATAAACAAAGAGATTTTCACAAAAAGAAATGCAATTTCGAAAGAAAATATAAAAATGTACAATTAAGAAAATAAACAAATATTAAGGATAACTAAAGACAAAACTAAAATGATCAGTTTGGTATTTTATAATTAACAAAAATTTGATAACAATTTCAGTTGCTCTCCACCAAAAGATTACATTCCGGGAAATAAAACTTCCTTACTGGCCTGCAGTATTATTCAATACGATGAAGATTTATCCTCTTTTCGGGACTCCAAGTGCTCCTCGTGGGACTTCGAAAGGGAAAGCAACTACGAGAGCGTTACCACAGAGGTAAATTTCAGCCCAAAAGTAGAAAACGCATTTAGTAACCTAACACTGACATACGAAATATTGAACACAGCTCGAATGGGTCTGCCACGACGCCTACAAACTAGCAGTGGGTCAATCCTTCTTCTTCATTGGATCCGCCCTGGGCAGTATATTCTTCGGATACTTGGCTGATCGCATAGGACGACTACCTGCCTGCGTTTTGTCCACTTTGACAGGAGCCGCTGGTGATTTCTTCACCTCCTTTGTAGGAAGTCTTCCTTGGTTCTCCTTCACCCGCTTCATTTCCGGTCTCTCTATGGACACTCAGTATGTCCTGATGTACATTTTGGGTATGTTACCTTATGCAGCATATATTCTCCAGTATATATAATCCCTTCACTTTGCAGTTTTCGAGTACTTGAGCCCACAGCACCGCACCTTCGGTCTTAATATCATTTTGGGTGTTTTCTACTCCTTTGGCCTGATGATCTCGCCCTGGATGGCCATTTGGTTGGGCAACTGGCGAAGTTACCTATGGGCAGCCTCTCTTCCTGCCCTCGGAATGCTGCTCTTCCCTGTATTCCTCCATGAAAGTGTGGAGTGGCTGTTGACCAAGGGAAAGTTCGACAAGGCTGTTAATAACCTAAAAAGCGTCGCCAAGTTCAACGGACGCCAAGTGGATGACTCTGTTTTCGATGAGTTCATAAAACACTATCGCGAGAAGTTGAACAGTGCGACAAAGAAATCCTCAGACACCTTTATGGGCATGCTAAGGACTCCAAGACTGAGGAAGTTCACCATTATTCTATTAATCAAATCGTGAGTTGAAATGGTTCAAAATTGTATATCATATTTTATAACATTCTTTATGTTTCTTCAGGATGATCATCACAATTGCTTTCGATATCCTGAGTCGAAATGTAGAGGGCGTGGGCATATCACCCTTCCACCTCTTCTCCTACTCAGGATTTGTCGTCCTGCCTGGTGGACTCACCATTATCCTGTTCCAGAACAAAATAGGTCGCAAGGGCATGGCCTGCGCCTCCCTGTTTGTAGGTGCCATTATCACAGCTGCCACTGGTTACCTAGTGGGCACTCTGGACCCAGCTAACTACTCCGTTCTCCTGGGAGTCATGGTGTGCTTGGCAAGATTTGGAGCGGTGGTGGCCTATGATGCGGAGGCCCAGTACGCGGCGGAGATTATTCCGACCAGTGTGCGAGGTCGAGGGGTGGCCAACATCCATGTGGTGGGCAACGCCTTCGCCTTCTTCAGCTCCTATATCATCTACTTGGGAACCTTCTACAAGCCACTGCCCTCACTTTTGATTAGCTTCCTGCTCATTATTGGCGGTTGTTTGTGTCTGGCTCTACCGGAGACATTGCACAAGTGAGTTTCATATTAAAGTACACCTGAGTCGTCGAATATATATCCTATTTATCCCACAGACAACTTCCACAGACTCTAGAAGAGGGCGAGATGTTTGCCAAGGGCGAGAGATGGTATTTCTTTCCCTGCTTTTCACGGAAACTGCAGTTTAAAAAGTCTGAAGCTCAGTTGGAGGCAGCCAGCTAAATTACAATGTAGTTATAATAAATGTATTAAGTATATAATAAAAAGTAATACCAATGAATATAAAATAATAAGAAAATATGTTTACTCAACTCTTAATTGTTATGGGTAGTAGTAGAAATGACGCTACTAAGATAATATAAGATAGTAATCTGGTTAAATGGTTTTGGGATAATACGAAAAGTAACGAATTTCATCATAGGCTGATCGCATTTTCGGAATTCAGACCTTAATCCCAGGCTCAGACACCCATTAAGTTGGAAAGTGCCTGTTTACGGAAGCTTACTTGGATTGTTTAAACCTTAAAAGCACTTGTTTAGGGCATGATTTAGTTAGATCACGACGCTGGTTCCGGAACTTTTACTACCCGGCGAGATAAGCGAATTATTATTGCATTTTTCACAGGCTTCGTTTGGCGCCTTTGCGAAGCAGACCTGTAATCTATACTATATATAATCTATATCTCTAAACGGGAACGCATTAAACTGTCAGGGGACAAACAAAGAACTCGCGTATCCGGTTAATCCTACCCATTAAAAAAGATTCCATTTCAGGCGTGACTTACAGCACGACAGTGGCTAATTCTGCAATAAATCTAAGACCAAGTCAACAAGCCAAAATTTTCGAGAACGTCCGCACTTGACCAAGTTTAATGCCTGATAAGTAGGTGAGACGCATTTCATAAAAGGCCTCTTTACATGGCAACTAGAAATCAAGGCCATCCCTAAAAAGGTCCATAAAATAACATAGCTTTAATTGATGAAGCTGAGTTTATTCTCCGTAATTGTATTATTTTATGATATGTAAACAAACATCTCCAGTGTAGGATTGTTCCTTAACCTGTTTGACTGTATGTTTGCTCTGGTCTCAGCCTCTTATCATCGGCACACACCCCAAAAAAGCGCCAGAGATTGCCTAGGCCAATCTCGGTGTTACTATTTACCCATCCTAATCAGGGGCTACTCCTATATCTTTATACTATATAAGGGAGCTGCCGATCCAAGTTAGGCGTCAAAATACTGCGCGTTCAGGCAGAATGTAGTTGACTCTTTCCTTTGAAGAATCAACGCGCTGTTCGCATAAACAAAGTGTCATAGCCAGTCAAGTAGATATTATTGTTCAAGTAAAAATTCCTTCGAGATCAGTATGGATTTCGACCGCGTTCTTGAGAAGTGTGGAAACTTTGGGCGGTTCCAGTTTGTCCTACTTATCCTCTACGGCTACACGAATATTCTCAGCTCTTTGCACTATTTTTCACAGACCCTCATCACTTTTACACCAGAGCATTGGTAAGTAAAATTCAAAATACCTTTAAAGTAACACAGATTCAGTGAAATATTACACGCTAGTTGATTTTAATAATGTAGGTGTTTTTTAAAAATGTTCATTTATTTTTCGATGTGAAAGTGTTCTCTAAAAATGCGATATTTAAAACGCACTACAATACGCAAGGAAAATACAACATTTAAGTAATATTTCAATTGTTATAAATTGTTTTAAAATTGTTTCAATGAATTTGTATATAAAATGTAATCGGTATTTGATTTTAAATTAGCTTAAATTACTGTTCTCCCCCAGGTGTTCCCATGATGACTTAATGGGCTTGAGTGCTGAGGAGCTGCGATCCATTTACTCCAATGTTTCGCACTCCTCCTGCACTCTTCTGTCGGAGGTGATCAATGGCACAGGGGTGGCCTCTCAAGGGGAGACCTGCAACGATTGGATCTTCGAGCGGGAGAACGGCTACGAAAGTCTAACCACGGAGCTCAAGTGGGTCTGCGATAAGTCCCACCAGCCAGCGGTGGGTCAGTCCTTCTTTTTCCTGGGTCCGTGGTGGGCACCATTTCCTTCGGATTTCTTTCGGATCGTATCGGCAGACTGCCCGCCATGCTGATGGCAAGCTTATCTGGTGCAACTGGAGACTTTATTACCTCCTTTGTGCACACGCTACCCTGGTTCGCCTTCTCCAGATTCGTGTCGGGATTATCCACGGATACCATGTACTACCTTATGTACATCTTGGGTAAGTTTTGGAATTTTGCAATTTACAGAAATATTATATTCTCTTTCTCTATAGTCTTCGAGTACTTGAGTCCCAAGCGTCGCACCTTTGGTCTGAACATCATCCTTGCAGTATTCTACTGCTTTGGACTGATGACCTCGCCGTGGATCGCCATGTGGATTGGCAACTGGCGTCGCTACCTCTGGCTGGCATCTCTGCCAGCTCTGGGTGTCCTTATATACCCACTCCTGATCTGCGAAAGTGCCCAGTGGCTGCTGACCAAGAAGAAGTACGATGAGGCGGTGGCCTGCCTGAAGAAGGTGGCCAAGTTCAATGGTCGCCAGGTGGAGGACTCCGTGTTCGACGAGTTCGTGAAGCACTACCGCGAGAAGATGAACGAGGAGAGCAAGGTGAACAAGCAGATGGACACTTTCCTGGGGATGTTTAAGACCCCCAGACTACGCCGCTTCACCACCACTCTCCTGGTTAAATCGTAGGTCTACTCCTTGATTTTTCTGAGATACAAAGACTAAACTTTCTGTTTAACTTAGGGTGATAATTACGCTCTCCTACGATGTGATCAACAGAAACATGGAGGGTCTGGGCTCTTCACCTTTTAAGCTGTTCTCACTGACCTCCAGTGTCTACCTGCCCGCGGGATTCACCATCTTGCTGCTGCAGAACAAAATCGGTCGCAAGGGCATGGCCTGTGGTGCGCTTATAGTAGGTGCGATTATCACCGCCGCCACAGGATTCCTGATTGCCGTACTGGATCCTAAGGAGAACGCCATCGTGCTGGCTTTGATGGTGGCTCTGGGTCGATTTGGCTCCACTGTTTCCTACGATGCGGAGATCCAATATGCGGCAGAGATCATTCCCACCAGTGTGAGGGGACAGGCGGTCTCCAACATCCATGTGGTGGGACTGGCCTCCAGCTCACTGGCGTTCTACGTGATCTACCTCGCACAGTACTACAAGCCCCTTCCCTCGATCTTCATCAGTGTTCTGATGTTTCTGGGCGCTTTACTCTGCCTGACCCTTCCTGAAACTCTGCACAAGTGAGTTCCAGACATCCATTATGATACCACTTAGATCTTAATTTATTTTATTATATTTGTAGGAAACTCCCCGAAACCCTGGCCGATGGCGAGAAGTTCGCAATGAACGAGAGCTGCCTGTACTTCCCATGCTTACACAAACGCCGCGAAAGTCTGACCAAGCATGCGGACCCCAAGTCTGAACCCTAGAGAACGATGAACCTGAAAGCTGACTACTGGTGAACCTGCTAGCCACTTAACCTGATGATGGGCCAACGGAACGTTGACTCCTGTAACCGAATGGTCTGATAGTTATTACTCATGTGAAGGATGCATAGTAATTGAACGAAAACCGTTGTTTAGAATACATTTATCTAACCTATATATCCAAAACAGAACTGGTCTAAATATACGATGTACTCCTCTTCTTTCACAATAAATTTATCAATATCTATAAAAGTTAAAAATGAATTCATACCTTTAAAAAATTATAGCCTGTTATATTTTTATCTTTTTTTTAGTTGTACTAAACTTAGCAATGCTAACCGATAGGCATTCCAACCAAGAATTTTAACCAAGATACTTACTCTATTGAAAAAAACTTATTACAATTGCTACATTTCTACCAATTCTCCGTATTTAGCAATTTATTTAAAATATATTCAAATACATTTCGGCTGCCTTTGGTCGATTAAAACCAAAAGTCAATTGAATATCTAAACTTGAATATATTTTGAGCCACCAAAAAATAACTAAACAACACTTAAATACAATTTTTTCGATTTGTATATTTTATATTTTGTCTTCTAACTTTAAATAATTATTATCAGTTTGTTTAATGGTTCTCATTTGCTTAAAGATCAAAATCCAAAATAGAACATTCAGTTACTGGCCTAAGTAGTATCGCACTTATGTACAAGTAGGTATGAAAAACTCTTACGATAAGTATTCAATTGGGTTTAGTTAAGTGATTTTGTGCCGCTTAAGTGTTAACTATACGATTCCATTCTTATGCACAATCAGCGTTTTGGAAAAAGGTAATTTTGGATCGAGTTAAATTTACAGCTACGCCCTAGGTCTTTACCATCTAGCATAGGTAATTAAGTATACATATATATAAATTTGTAAGGGTACACTCTATACATATAAGAAAAGGCTACCGCATACTGAGCACACACTTTGCCGGCACCCAACTGGCCATCGAATGGAGTTAGGATCGGATCTTGGCCTGGGTCTCTCAGGGGCCTGGGGTCTTAAGGTCTTAAGGTCTAGGCGAAAATTGGTTAGCTAAACTACGAACTACTGAGGGCGGGACGTCGCCCCTCAGTGCTTGGCGTCCTTCAGGGCCTGCTCCTCGCGATCGGCGTCGATCAGGGACTGCTTGCGCTTCCCATTCGAGCAGGACTCCATCTGCATTTGCTTGGCGTCGATCAGGGAGTGCTTCCGCTTGTACTTCTCCAGCTCGGAATCGGACTCCTCGTCATCGTGCCGGTTGTGCAGGCACGGGAAGTCGAACATGCGCTCGCCCTTGCCGAACACCTCGCCCTCTTCGATGGTCGTGGGCAGGCTCCTGCAAAATACCACAAAATATTAGTAAAATTATATCATTAACTTATAGCCAAATAGCACAATCATTTAAATTGCAGATACATTTCCTTGGATATACAAAATTAAATTTATATTTATTTAAGCAAGTCATCAATCACACATTTGTTTTGCAAAAAAAATACTTGATACTCTTATTAGCGACAACCAACTGAAATAACATCAAAGGCTTTAACAAAACAAATCAAATTATAATAAATTATACATTCATTTCACAGAACTCATAAGACATTAATCAAGCCATTTATAATTACTTGTATATTGTTTAATGAAAGCACTAGACGATATAATCTGCTGATTAGAAAGTAGATTTATGAAGGCAGCAATCGCTCTTAAGCTTAAAATCTTTATTAATTGATTAGAAAATACAATGATGGATTCTATAATCATCAATCATTCTTGCTTTAATTTTTTGTTGGTCATACCATTAAGTGTTTTATTTGAACTAACAGAAAGCTTGCTTTATAAATACTAATAAATTATTTAAATTGTAGTTCTTTAGTCTATGCAATGTTTTGATGCAATAATGCTCTGAAGTCATGTACTAACCTGTTTAGCGTCTCCGGCAGCAGCAGGCAGACAAAGGAGCCCGCGAAGAACAGGACGCCCAGGATGATCGAGGGCGCCGCCTTGAAGAAGGTGCCCAGCCAGAGAATGTAGGGCGCCAGGAAGGAGGCCGCGAACCCGGCCACGTGGACTGCAGCCACGCCCTGACCCCGCACGCAGGTGGGGATCAGCTCGGTGGCGTACTGGGATCCCGACTCGTAGGAGATGGCCACTCCGAAACGGGCGGCGATCGTCAGGCAGGCCAGCAGAATGGCATTGTGGCTGTGCTGCTGATAGGCAATCGCGATTCCGGCGGCGGCTGTGAAGAGCCCACCCACCAACAGGGATCCCGACGCCATGCCCTTCCTGCCAATGCGGTCCTGCAGCAGGACCAGCAGGATACTCGAGGGCAGCACTGCCAGGGCACTCAGCGAGAACATGATGAAGGGCGAAATGCCCATGCCCTCCACGTTTCGGGAGACGGCATCGTAGCACAGGGTGATCACCATGCTGTGGGTAAGAAATGAATATAAAATATTTAAAAATGAAAATTCAGGATGAAAAAAATTTAGAACTTGGTAATTTAACTGATATTTTTGTAAAATAAGAATATTCATGACTTATAGAATCATTTGCCATTAAAAACGAACCGCTTTGAAGATTTTCAATTATATTTAAAATTTCTATGGCCTATAAAACTAGTTCGACTTTGAGTTAGTGAAGTTTGAGTCATGAAAGTGGACATACTGGATTATATAAACATCTAACTAATCTAATTATCACTTGATGCTTACAATAATCACTAAACGAGCTCACCTCTTAAAGAACAGAATGAGCGTATTCTTGCGCATGCGTGGCGTTCTGAACATATCCAGCAGTGTGGCCTGCTTCTTGTCATCGCCGCCCTGCATTTCGCGGGTCATCTGGCAATGGCGCCGGAACTCGTCGAAGTCCGCCTGGGTCACCCGGCAGCCGTTGAACTTGGCCACCCGCTTCAGCCTTACGATGGCCCCGTCGATGTCATTCCGGGTCACCAGCCACTGGGCGCTCTCCTGCACCACGAAGTAGTAGAGAACCACCAGCAGGATGGGCAGCGATGTGCAGGCCAGGTAGATCTGCCAGTGGCCCACCAAAACTGCCAGCCAGGGAGTGAATACCAGGCCTAAGCAGTAGAACAGGCCCACGGCCATGTTGAGACCCAGGGTTCTCATGCTGGGGCGAATATATTCGAGCACTGTTAGGGAGAAAGTAATAGAAGATAGGAAATTAAGCTAAATAAAATAGTACTTTAATATTCCTATTCGGATAGTTAATATATAGGAAATAAACCATTTTACACGCTTGTAATTGCCTTAATGGTTTATTGCTAGGCTTATATGCTCAAACTCATTTCAAATTCGATTTTTTTAATCGAAAATAAATGCTACTTGAAAGTTAATTCCAACAAATACTGACTAAATAATTTAATAACAATATATACACCTTCTTAACTTTCTTTTCTTAACTTACCTATAATGTACATCAGGTAGAAGTTAGTATCGGCGGCCAAACCGGAAATGAAACGGCAAAGGGTGAAGGTGGCCACGCTTTTGGTGAATATGGTGGAGAAATCCCCGGCGAATCCGCAGAAGTTGGACAAGATTAGGGCGGGAACTCGGCCAATCTTATCGGACAGCAGGCCGTAGAAGAGAGTGCCCACCACGGAGCCAATGAAGAACAGGGACTGGCCAATACGTGCCTTGTACGCCGAGTCACAGACCCAGTTGAGCTGAATTAAATATAATTATCAACAGTTAGAACTTGTTTGATACCAGTTCTATCGGTTATAAAAACCAGACTTACCTCTGTGTTCATGCTTCTGTAGCCAAAATCATAATTATAGATCCACCTTTCGCACGGTTTGCTGCTAACGGTGACATTATTAGGGCCAAAAATGTCATCCAGTCGGGTGCACGAGGGCTTCTCGAACTTAGCATAGATATCTCCGATCTCCTTATAGGTCATATTCACTAGCTTATCATGGTAGCACCAATGATCTGGCACAAAACTAATGACTGTTTGCGTAAAGTAATGCTGAAATACAAATAAAATAAATAAATAATAATAATAATAAGTTAGGTTAGGAAATAAAATATAACTCACCATCGATACGATGATATTTATAAACCCGAAGAGGGCGAGTATCATGAACTGGTAGCGATTGAAGTCGCCACATTTGGCCAGAATCTGATCGAAATCCATGTTGAAATGAGTTTAATTGTAGCTAAGTGAGTTGAGTGCGGTTTGGATAGTGTGTTTGTACTATTGATGGTTGTGACTTGGTTCTTCAAAAGCTGACTTTTTGTTGGGGGAGAGAAGGCGAGCCCAATTTGCAGCGGAGTTCACATGTGTTGTATCACAATTTAGTGTTAGTTGTCACATTTGTTGCTTTGGCTTGGTCTGAAATGAAGAGCGTGTTTGGATCGTTAAATTGGGTCAATGAACATTGCTCAGAGTATACACAATTTTTTTTGCATCTAGATAAGATTATTATGTTTTTGGCCCGTATATCATAATAAACTGACAACAAAGAAATTAAATAAATATTTTCACATGCAATCACACACAAAATACACTGAAGTTAAATAGAGGATAAACCATTTGCTTGTCTTGTTTATATTTCAAAGTATTTTGAGAAGCCCTTTTCCATCCATATAAATACTATTTTTAAAAAGAACTGAAATTGTTTTTTTAACTCATAAGCTGGTAAGGCTATCCAAAGTAAAAGGAAAAAATTCGAAATAATAGGAAAAATGTATTGCGCCAGCGCATAATTGTAACTAAATATATATTTTTTCCAAATGTACTTATAATAAGATTGCGAAACAGCTTCTTATCAAGATCAGATATTTTGTAAGACTCTAATTTTGTGAGCTTGCTATGTCTACCCACGTTCTGTCATCAAAACCCCGTTTACATTTCCCTGCTAATTCGCTTAAAATAATTGTAATAAGCTAATAATTAGACCCGTTTAGCACGTTGGGCGGGAATTTAGCGAGAAAACCAATTGGAAAACAACATTTCCACCCGGAGCTAACCATATTGAACATTATTCGCCAGCACAGATAAGCCGTTGACTACTGTTCCCTAATCCGTAGACCGAAGATAACTGCCATCAGACTTTGCCCAAACATCGTTCGGCGTGTTGCACGAGCCAAAACTAAGGTCACCAGAGCGGGTTCCACAGCCTGTTACATGGACTTATCGCTGACAAAATATTTATATAGGCGTTCATTTAGATAAAACCCAAAAAGCAAAAAATTAGAGGG